AACCCTAAACCCCAAACCCTTGAACAGGGCCTTAAAGCCCAAGTCCGAAGCCCAAGGAAAGACAAGGCTGCTGACCCGATGGCACAGTGCGTGGCCTCTCGGTGTCCAGCTCATCAAACAGCCTGGCAGCAGGATCGACACAAAAAAACCTGCATTGCAGCCTGTGGTCTTTCGTTTTCCACGCTGAGCCTCCGGATGGTGATGACGCTGAACTCCCCGAGCTTGGACCCTTGCTGCCTGGGACAAAGCACCCCAACCCAGTCTCAGCGCTCGGCCACGCTGCGCAGAGTACCAGCAGGGCTATGGCGCATGCTAAGCGCCAGGCTGAGCGGGGGGCTCTTCCACCGCTTCCCCCTCCCCATCCTGGCAAAATGGAGTCGTAGCGGACTCCGTCTTGAGCTTGAGTATGAGTAGAGAACATTCGGCTTCTGAGCCTCCTCCATATCAGAAAGAACTCGAGCAAGAGGGCCCACCGGCCTGCCCAGGGGCTGCGTTTCCCGCACTCCCACACTAGCTCAATGCGGTGAGACGTAACCGACGGCCTTCCTGCAACCACACAGTTCAATCGCAACTACGGTGCATGGCGGGCAAGAGCAGTCTCTGTCCAGTGCCCCAGCAGGCACGTCTGACAGTCTGGGCATGGAAGTGCTAGCTAAACTTCACAATAGTATCGAGAAGAAGGTACCAGTATCGCTCCAGTGCAGTCAGGCGATTCCTCCCTTCATTCGGACAACTGCTCGACTGCCACTCGCGCTGCTCTCCTACACGACCCCGCCTCGAGTCAGGCTCGTTCCCTGCCTGGCCGCGCGCTGTGATGTGCAACAAGGGCTTGAAGGCTTTTGAGCATAGCGTTTAGGGTTTAGGGTCTAGGAGGCAAGTCAAGTAATTGACCTACAGACAAGTTGACAGCACATCGAGCAGGCACAGCTCTGCACCTCGCTCAGGTTGGGGCTTCCGGCAGCAATGTCACGACCTCCATGAAAGCAACAAGAGAATCGGAATGCACACGAGAGGGGAGTATTTCCGACGTCAACCTCGAGCCGCACCTTCATACTCATAATGGTCCGACACAGTGGAGTTGACGGATGTCCTGCTGGTTCGCCGTGGCCTGACACGCTAATGCGTAGTTGGTTCACAGGCGCTGCTGGCCGTCACAGGACACCGTCACAAAAGGTACTGTAGGTCGGCGCCTTCCATCTCTGGGATGAGATGGCGACGAGCGAGGCTGCGCAGAATTGATTTTGGCGACCTCTCCGAAGACAGGAGACTGCTCGAATGCGAGAGCTCTGACACAACGACCCGGAACATAAGCAGAAACGTTGAGCCCAGACACCTCCTGCTCCAGATCATTCAGCGTATCACCTGTCGGCTCCTCACGTTGGTGGGGCCTGCCAGGGATAGCAGACACACAGAGTGAAACAGCTGCATCATCATCATATGGACAAGATTCTCCGCTGATCTTCTAAACCCTCCCACTTGCGACACGGCAGTAACCCGCAACGGAATTGCCTTGGATCTTGTGAGCTTCTGGTGCCAGTATCCTCACCTTGGTTGTCGCCATTGCCGCCCGGGGCCACTTCCACAACACTGAAAAAGCTACATCCAGTCTTCTTGATTGTTGCTCTTGTAGGGGCCTAAGTAATAATTAGAATAGGGCTTTGGG